ATATATTAGTTAAAATTATTGATAAATTACTCGCAGAGCCAAGAGCATTGCTCGAGAATCGCATAGAGAGGCAAATATAAACGAAAGCAAAAAATGTCTCTTTTTGTTTATCTGTCTGCAGTTAGTGTACTATGTGAGCCGAGTGGTATGGAAGCAGGCAATCGAACAGAGCTGACAGTTTCGAAGATCGCGCCACTCACCATTGTTGTTGAGTCCCAGTTTAGCCAAAGCTTGCAGATTGTTGAGCGCGCGCTGGTCACCGGACAGAATGTCGGCCAGTGTTATGGGTTGGGTGGGCGTGACGCCAGAGGGCGGAATGACCGGCTGCTGATGATGGGAGGCAGCGCCGCCGGCGGCGCCGGAAGTGGCAGCAACAGCCACCGCATTAGAGCTGCCCACGCCCAACGTGTCGCTCATGGCGTCCGGTATGCTCTCCGTGAGACTGGCCAATCGTGATAGATTGTATTCAAGCATGCTGAACGGAGGGGTTGGTCCGCCAGCATTCATGCCCAGTCCATTGAGGGCACCCAGGCCCATGCCGACAGCGCTGTTACTTGCTCCAGCATTGATACTGACATGCCCAGAAGGTGGTGGTACTTGGACAATGCCTTGGGGCGTCACCATCTGCGATATTTGCTGGGTCACGGGCAGCGTCTGTGACTGTTGATGCAGTGCCTGTTGCTGTTGCTGCTGTTGCTGTTGCTTTTGCTGCTGCTGCTGCTGCTGCTGTTGCTGCTGTTGCGCCTGTTGCAGCGCCTGCTGCTGTTGCTGCTGCAGCTGCGGCGGCGAATCTGGCGGCAGCGTGCTCATCATGGAGAAGTTGGTCATGACCGAGGTGTCGCCATCGAAGGAGCTCTGCAACGACGATGGCAACGATATGGGACTAAAGACAGCTGCCGAGCTCAGCCGTCCCTGCACCGAGCTGTTGTTGACGGAACTGCTGCCAACTCCGGCCAGGCTGCGCACTCCAGGCGGCAGCATGCCAACGCCATGGCAGCCGGGCGCCAAGTTCGATGGCGGCGGCGTGTGCTGCTTGGGCGTGGCCATCGGAGAGGCCGTCGCCTCGGGCATTCCAGTTCCAGTTGTATTTGGGCTTTTCGTTGATTCCGTGCGAAATTTGCCAAACATTTCACGCGCGAAACGCTCAAACTTCTCGGGCATACAGTCGAACTGGAGCTGATAGTTGACATCGCTCTGGGGTGTCTGATCGATCAGATTGGCGCACTGAGCACTGATCACTGGCTTCAGCAACAGAAACTCTATGGCATTGGCCTTCTCGATGGCACGCTGACCGAACTGGGAGGCATGCTGCAGGCGGCCCATGTTATTCTCAAGGCTCTGCATCAGATCCATGATCTTCAGTTCGCGCTCCGAGTGCAGGCGACTCAGGTCGGTGATCATCTGATCGCGAATGACCTCGAGAGTGCGCTTATAGCCCTTGTACGCATCGTCGATCTGCTGTCGGACATTGTCGTGCTGCGACTGGAGTTCGGTTAGAGCGCTGCTCAGATTGCCGCCAGCATCGTTGCAATATTGTGCCTTCTTCATGGTCTCCGTCAGCGTTTGCTCGAGATCGGCCCGAACTGTTTGCTCGGCAACCAGAGCGGTCTCGTAGTGATGATCGTTGCCCTTATGATCGCTCAGCAGGCAATCGTTGCAGGTGGGCACCTGGCACGTAAAGCAATAGTATTTGAGATTCTCATTGATGTGCTGACGGCAGCAGATTGGCTTGTGAATGATCAGCTTGTCGTTCTGCACATTCTTCTGCAGATCCTCGATGCGCACCACCTGGTGGTTCTCGAAGCAGCGCATATACTTGTGCGCATTGTCGCAGCCGTTGCACAAGAAGTTGGCGCAGTCATTGCAACGTGATATGGCCTCCTCTTTGCTCTTACAGGACGTGCACGGTATATGCTCCGATTCCAGATTGGACAGATCCAGCGTATTTGTCACAATGTAGTCCATGGTCAGCCCCCTGACGCCCTTGTTGCCCAGATGGGTCAGCTGCTTGCAAACCGGACACTCCAGCACCGTATGCAATCGCTGATTCTCACTGCCATCGAACGAGGCCGACGAGCAGCTGGCCGCCGACGATAGGGATGTGGCCGGTGAGCTGGCTGCGGCCGCCTCCTTGCTGCGTAGCAAATTAAGCAGGCAATCCTCGCAATATACATGTAGACAGGATAGGATTCGCGGCATAACCAAACGCGAACTACAAATGATATGAAATGGTTTTTAAAAATTCGATTTCGATTTACTTAGCGCCATCGATAGTAACGATAAATCAAGGTTTTTACTAGTAGTAAAAGGCGCAGCATTTTTAGATCTTTTCTTTTTCAATAGCTATAAATATAGATTATCTTTATATAATTGGCTAGTTGATTAAAGTTTTTAGAAATATCATCGATACAGTCTTCGATAAATCAAGTTATTTATAACTATTAGAGCAGCATAGTTTCCATTTTTATGGATATAAATATAAAATATCGATAGCTGCCAATCGATTATAGATCAATGACGCGCTTTTAGTTTTCAGCTGCCTTTAGCTACTAATTTTGGTAACCTTTTTATCGATATTAAATCATGGCCAAAGTTAAATATTGTCAGTTAGAAACTCACCTGCATAGCATGCAGTTCTTGTCGGCATCTTTGAGCATGGAGCCGCACGTATCCTCCAGGGAATCCAGCTCCGTGACGCTCTTAGACTCATAGCCATGGCTCAGCTCCTGGCTGCTGCCAATATTGCTGTCCACATCGACCACCAGACCGAGGCCCGATGAATTGGACGTGGATGGGGCGGTTGTTGATACCGATGATGTAATCGATGCAGCCGATCCAATGCTGGACGAGCTGACGCGCGTCGTATCAATGCTGCCCACGGTGCTGCTGCCCTTGCCGGTGTCCGTGTCCGTTCCAGTGCCATTGCTGCAGCTGCTGCTGTTGCTGCTCGCGCTGCTGCTGCTGCTGCTGCTACTGGTACTGCTGGTGCTGCTGCTGCTGCTCGTATTGCTCACATCGATGTCTTCCAGCACCGATGATGAGTTCGAATCCTCGCAGAGTGTCGTACTCATCGAGACCCGCTGCTGCTGCTGCTGCTGCTGTTGTTGTTGCTGCTGCTGCTGCTGTTCCTCAATTGTCGCCGTAGCCAGTGATTGGCTCAGCTCCTCGAGCAGTGTGCTCATGATGCCAGCAACTTGTTAATTAGCCGTTTGTTTAATTGGTATCCCTTTTCTTGCTCAATCGTGACTAGGTGGGCGGGCAGATTTTCTTTTGCTCTTTCACACTTTCCTTCTTTCTAATTTTTCTCTCTGTCTCTGTCTGTTTCTTGTAGCTTGCAATTTCCTCAATGAATAATTAGACGTGTGTTATATTTGTTGCTTAAGTTTCTTTGTCTGTTACTGTTGCTGGTGTTGTTGTAATTTTTGGTTTCAAGTCCTTTACGCTTACTTAACTATCAATCTTCTCTTATAGCTGCATATCCCAATTGTGGTTGCTATTGTTGCTTGCTCGCACTCCTTGCAGCCATGCCAATTGCACACTGCAAATGGGTGTAAGTGTGACAGTCGATGTATGAATCTCTCTTCAGCTGCTACTGCTACACTAATACACACACACACACGCGCGTACACAGACAGCCAGTCAGGTAGGCGTTAGCGAGAGAATGGGTGGTTCAATGTGAGAGTGTGTGCTCGATAGCTGCTGTACTCACGAAGACGAACATACACAGGCACTCACGCTAGTGCACGCTGCTCACACTCACGYACACACACACAACAAGCTCAGTTTAGCTCTGCTTTTGCTTGTGACTTCCTCTGTTCCTCCTTTCACTTTTTATGCGTCTGCATTTTGCCTCTTGGATTTCTGCTCTGCTGTTCCTCTTTTCCTGTGGGCTCTCGTTTCTTGTGCTGATCCGTTATAGGTACCGTTATTGCAATGGAACTGCGTGCTGCTATTGTTTCAATTTGTTGCTGTGTTGCGACGAGTACGATGACGAAAACGACGACGACGACGACAATTATGACGACGACGACGACAGATAGGCGAAGGATAACAGCGTCGTTCTGCACAATATAAATATACCGCAAGTAATGGAAAATGTACCGTGAATTAATCCAAAATTTTCAAAACAAATTAGAAAAATATATCAAAAAAAAAAAAAAAATATTATAATAATAAACCAAAAAAATAAACCCAAACAAACAAACTAACAAAACAAAAGAAAATTTATACTATCATGTGCACTGTTTTATTAATGGTTAATGCATTAACCAATGTCTTAGTCAATTGTTAATAAGCTATCTAAATATATCTGCGAATTTCAAGAACTAACTACCCGAAACGCGAACTAACGTAGAAAAACATAAAAAAGTAACAAAAAATAAAAACAAACAAACGATGACACGCCTAAGTTTCAAACGAGAGAATAAACGTAAACGAGAAACAGACTTAAGTGTTGGCAGTAAAGTAAATGATGAAATGTTTGTCTCATCCAATCAGTCGAACGGTGAAAGGGTCTACACGGGTCTGCTTATGGCTCAGGCTCCGTGTCTGAAGCAGCTGCAGCAGCTGCTGCTCAATGCTAATACTCCTTTCGCTTATGCAACACAACGACAGAATGTCTCATACCGAACAGCTCATAATGATGCATACTTTAGGGAACAGTTAACAGTAAGCGATTCGGCATTTAGCAGCTCTCTCTCTCTCCCCCTCCCTCTCTCTCTCTCTCTCTCTCTCTCCCACTTACTTCTTCTGACTTTTAAGAGTTAAGCTGTCTCGGATTGTGTATAAAAATGATTGTTCAAATTAACACATTAAGATAAGAGCTGATTTGTTGTTGTCTATTTATATAGGTACATATATGTATAAAACTTCGTATGTATGACATTATTTATTTACTTTCATTATAAAAACAAAAAACAAAAATACCAAGTGCAAACATATTTAATTTCATATTATTTTACAGCGCTTATTCTCGACTGGTTACCAGGTCTTTACCGCAAATAAAGAAACATTCTCAACAATGATTCCTATATATACATTCATCAATAATTTCTATCTCCCAGTAACACTGTAAGGCACGAGCCGATCTTCAGTTTGTTAGCGATGTCATTCGATCGCGATAGTAATTATCGCAGCTGACTATAAGAGCTTGAGTAAAGAAGCGAATTGATTCTTTACGCACGTGCCCATTGATATACATATGTATGTGTGTGTGTTTGTGCATTTCATGTACTCGTAGAAATTGCGAGTCGCTCAGGCGGCGCAGGCGCCTGTGTTAGCATAGCTGCAACACAACATCTATGTATGTGTGCATACACACACCTAATACAACACATATATGCCCATGTACAAGTATACATGTAGTAGTAAGTGAAGTCAATGCCGTTTGCAATAAATTCAACTTTGATTTTCGCCCTTTTATATTGCTTGATGCAAGGACGCTATGCCAAGGGTCCTTGGACAAGAAAAACAAGACAAACACACATGACCACAGA